TCGGCTGTGCGCATTGCACTCTTGTCGCAAAGATCGCAGCCGAATGCGAGAATGCTGATAGACTGATCGATCGACGCCGTTTCCTGCCTTGCCGCGTGCACGCCATCGTAGCCTTGACGAAGCCCGCATCAAAGAGGGAATATTGGAGGCGTGTTAACCGCGAGGTCAATGAAATGTTACGTCAAACCGTCGAGAATATGAGGTAAAGGTATCTGTCCCATTCGTCACGATCTTCATGAGGCGATTTCACCTCCAATCACGGCATAATATGTGCGTAAGTCACGGTTACTTCATTAGCACACGTTGCTGCGATGTAAACCACAATAGATGCGTTTCAGCCTTACTTCCCATAAACAGCAAAACGCGACATGCAAAGGGTATTATTACACCTGCAGCTTCTAATTTACTAATGATGATGCCATTCGGCTATTAGACCAAACTGGACCTCGATTTGTGAACCATCAACGCCCAGAGGTAGTGAAATCAGATGAGCTAACACGTTTCGCGTTGTCCTTCATTCGACACCTCCAAGTCTGAGTGTTTTTCATAAAATAGGAACTTTCACGCACCGATGCGAACTTTGAATGTTTCTGATGGTTAGAAGTTTGCTGAAGCTGGCATTTATATGGCAAGTATGACAGGATGCCCCATTTTACTGCGGGGTTTTGTCGCCACTGAAACTCACAGACAAACCGGTCCGATCAAAAAAATGCACCCTGTAATTCCCGTTAATTGTGCTCCGACCCTGGGCCGCATCATTGAATATAAAATCCTCAGAACCTACAAGTTCTACGCTGCAGGGTACTTTTAGAAGATCTAGTAGTACGAAAGTTGGGTGAGAGCTAGCATACAGGATACGACATTTCCATCAAGAATTCATGAAATAAGAAGCGGTTCCGACAAATACTTTGGCAGCGGCATTGTAAAGGTGTCCACTTAACTATCCGTAGGCTGTGGGTCAATACACATGGAGTTTTAACTTGGCATCCATCTGCAGGCCACTGCAGACATTGCACTGACAACGACAATTACTTCCCATGACCTCAGACTATTACCCAAACTCCGTTATTTCTTTTAAAACTTGCCTCTTGTTTATTTCTTTATTGTCGCGCTTATTTCTGCTACTATACGAAAGCGTCCGGTACTACTTTCGGCGGAAATCCAAACGATTTCTGTGTACTCTTGCACTTCTTCCGCCGACTGTCTGGCATGCTGCTCCAGCCGTAAAACTCCCATTTTCATCATTCCCGTATGACTCGATCCACAGTCTACGGACAGTGAAGTGGGGTCCTTCACCATATCGTTGTCAATAATTTCAAGCCAAAGGCGTCTTCTATTGTCCAGAGTGCTGTGACATCAAGTGCATACAGTATGATGGATCTCGTGAGATCTGAGCTGATAGAGTGCCGCAAACTGACGTGCGAATAGCCTGTATTGTTAAGGCGGCAGGAAATTGAGTCTCCTCAGTTAGAAATGCTGATGAATGTTATGCTGACCACACACGTTCTTTCCTCAAAAAGAGATTTGAATTTGATCAGCATTGGATAAAGTATGCAGTTTTTCAGACGTTTGGTCGTTTTTCTTAAAACTTTTGCCAGATTAAACTGCTGTACATCTTTTGGTGTCGGTTCCTGGCATTTCAATATGTCGGGCGGTGTAAACGATGTTGGCTTTTGAAAGTAGTCGCTAGATTTACTACTTTAATTATCTAACATTTAGTGTCAGGCTTGATATGTAGCGGTCAGTTTGCCCGCAGCTCCACGAACGCTTTTTACTGTTAGTGTTCCTGCTATCTTTTCCTTGAAGGACTTAATGACCAATCGTTCCGAAAAAAACGAAGTCCCTTAGGCCTGCTTCGAGGAGTATTGAGCGTGAGCGATGTTAGTTTTAAGCTTGAGTCACAATGGTTGCCAGCCTGCATGTGTGCACCTCAATGACCTCGAGGAGCCTGCTGATGAAACTTGTTTTTCCTTTGAAACGCAGGATCGCATCTGGGTGAACTGTCATCGTACAAGCATTCAGTTAACTATTTTCTGCACTGTGGAGGGTTTCACGAAGTAGATAATGCCCTCTTCCACTTCATATCCCTGTTGGGACGACATTTTTGGATAAACCAACGGCCTTATCGAGATTGCTACTAGTGTGAGCTACACATAGATTAGTTGTTCATTTTGACCCAACTGCAGAAAATTTGGCGATCTCGGTCGGATTCAAACCCATGACAGCAAGGTGAGGCTTCAGAGCAGCCAGCGCTCTAGCCACCTGAGTGACGAGGCCCCATCGGGAGCCGTCAGTTTAGTCACATTTGCGTCAAGTTACCCGCCCAGCCTACTACAACGTATGGAGCCCACCAAATCTGATACAGTGAGCTGACTGCCTAAGCAGGATGATATAAATAATAAATATAAGATCCACCAGATGACTACCAGGCCCAGTTGGATCAAACTGCAATATTCAAAATCTGTCAAAACACCTAATAATAAGTTAGTTGATAATTTCGCTAGCCCAACAACCCTAGCGAATGCTGCCACCCATACGTATTCTGGTTTCTTAGAGGCCATTGTTGCTATCAGAGTGAACAAGCATACCAGGACCGATGCTGTAAGTTCCAATTTTGCCGAATAGTTTTTTAAGTTGGCCATAAAGCCTTTTATGCAGGCTTCGTACGACCAACATCGATTTGAACTTTCCTATCTCTCATAGGGTTTACATGCACTAAAGCCGTCGTCAGAACATTTGGTAAGGTATCAAGGATTATCGCTACTGCACTAACTTAATGTATCGCTTATATGATTACAAGTAGCACATACATCGGCCAGCGATATGGGAAGGTCTCATTTTACGTACAAAACGGAGCTTTCTGAAGCAGATAACACAAAGATTAAATTGGCACATAAATACTGACTGTTGTCTATCGGAAAAGACACATCATTGACCGAGATTTCGGAGTATGAAATGGTCATTTGTGGTCTATATATTGTCACGAAGTAACCTCCAATGTTGGCTGCTAGATACTTTGAGACCGCCGGTGTGGACTTTGGACCGGAATGTCCAGCCAAGACAGAACCTCCGTCCTAACAACGGGAGACACCGATGTACGTCGTTCCTGTGTATGATCATACTTTAGTTACCGATTTGCCTTTGTTTTTGGCTGTGTGCACCCTATGATCTTCGTAAAAGATCAGTGAAGTCATGGTTTTACGCTTACGTAATAATTAGTCACCTTCAGCCAGCTGGGTGCATTTACTAAAAGACGACAGTTCGAACGCCTTTACCGAGGATGTCCACCGTGGCCTCCACGGCTGGGTGAGAGCAGGGACATTGACTTGCGCGTGAGTTAGTTTAAAGGGATAGTAGACTTGCGCAGCATCTACCACACTCCCTCCTCCTCCTCCTCCTCCTCCTCCTCACCCGGGTCCAGTGCCAAGTCGTAGTCAAGAAGACCTGAGGTGGGAGAGGACGCAGGTGGCTGGTACAGTGTAAACCAGCATCTTGGCCTGCTACCACGTCCCTGGACTACAACAAACACCTGACCAGGATTTTAACCAATGACAAAAGTTGAAGTAGGCAAGAACGGCAGGATTTATTGGTACCAAAAAATTTCGCGACTGCTCTTCAGCTGCTTCCTGTCACTTTATAAGAGAGATAACGAGTGAGAACAATACAACAGATTTGAATTCATGCAGAAAATCGATGCAGAAACAGCAAGGTCAGGGTTTTGGGCAAAGTTGGCTAAT